AAAGTGCCATGGACTGCCAAAAGAACCAATAAATCTGTTTTGGAAGTAGTACAGCCAGAGTGCTCCTTGGAGGCCAGGATGGCTAAGCTTTGTCTCTCATATTTTGGACATATTGTCAGGAGGGAACAGTCACTGGAGAATGTTGTCATGCTGGGTAAGTTTATTTTAATCAGAAATCATTATTGCCACCCCTGCTTTTTTTTTTTTTTGATTGCCATTAGCTTTGTGTATAAGGGTTGTCTTTTGAAGACAGCATATTGAAGGATCCTATTTTCGTATCCATTCTACTACTCTGTGTCCCTTGATTGGTACATTTTATCCATCTATGTCCAATATAATTATTGATAATTATGAATTGACTGCAGTCATTTTTGCTGTGTGTTTTAGTGAGACTATTATTTTCTTTGTTGTACACAGTTTTCTGTTCTTAGTTCATTTTGCTTGTGCATTTTCTTATAAATTTCTTTATTGCTGTTGTTATAATGTTTACTAAATCTTCATACTGTTGTTGTTAAGCGTGCTGGAGTTGGGTCTGACCCATAGAGACCCTGTGTATGGTTTCCAAGGAGCAGCTGGTGAGTTTGAACCACTGACTTTGAGGTTCATACCGATTTTGCAGTCTAGCGTGTTAACCCACAGTACCACACCAGGACTCTCTTGATTAGATATAGAGGTGTAATAATTGTCTTTGAAGCTATCCTGTAATTTGTTTATTTCTTTCCTAGTTTAAAACAGTTTGTCTTCTATGGAACTATATTGACTTCCTCGTCATTTGAAAGTTCTGTAGCTACACCTTTCTTTCTTTTTGCTTTGTAGTTATCTTTATTATAGACTGATATCTCTGGTTCCCTATTTTCAGTCTTGTAGGTTTGTTTTACTTTGGATGCTTCAATATTTGAATTAAATTCTGGGTGATGTTGCTGTGTATATCAATCTCAGGTTATTGTCTACTGTTGTTGGCTCTCAGTGTAAAGGATTTCCTTTATTATTATTTTTTTAATTTTAAGATGACCTGGTAACTTCCTTTAATGTCTGTTTATCTGGAAATGCTTTAATTTGAACATTGCATTTGGGGGACAGTTTTGCTGGGTTTGTCTTGGTTGGCAATATTTTTCTTTCAGAGTTTTTAAAATATGTCTTCCCATTGTCTTCTTACCTGAATGATTTTTGATGATAAATCAGAAGTTAATTTTATTGGGTCTCCTTTTTAGGTAACTTTTCGTTTATCCTGAGTTTCTGTCAGTATATTTTCTTTGCCTTTGATTTTAGAGAGTTTAGTTATGAAATGTCTTCACTATTTTTTTTTTGGAGTCTATCCATTTTGGGGTTTGTTCAGGTTCTTGAATGCTGATCTCATCTTTCATGATATTAGGGAAATTTTCTTCCAAAAGTTCTCTGACTATGTTTTCTGTACTTTCCTTTATTTCTTCCTGTTTAGGATTCTGGTCACTCATCAGTTATTCCTGTTCATGTTGTTCCACATGAATTCTAGGTTTTCTTTAGATTTTTTTTTCATTTTTACCCCCTGATTGTTGTAGTTTACAAGTGTTGAGAGCTTTATCTTTAAGCTAACTAATTTGGCCTTCCAGTGATTCAAATCTACTCTTTTGCCCTTTCAATGTGTTGTCCATTTCTGAAATCCTAGTCTTAATCTTCTGGATTTATATTTGCAGGTTTTGCATTGTCTCCAATTGTTTATCTATTTTGTTTGATTCTTCTTGTAGTCTTTTCCTGAATTCTTGCTTCTTTTCCTTGAACTTTCTGTCATTCATTTGGAGGTACCTAAATATAATTCCTGAAGTCCTGGTGTGGCACTGTCAGTGAATGTGCTTGCAACCACCAGGTTGGTGGTTCAAACTCACCAGTTGCTCTTTGGAAACCTTATACAGGGTCAGAACCAACTAGACAGCATTTAGCAACAACAACAACAAATATCATTCTATTCAATTATTTTTCCAGTAGCTCCAATGTCTCTTCTTCCTCAAAAGTGTTTTTTAGTTTTGCCTCTTGGTCACTCATTTGAACTACTCTGTTTTGCTTCTTCATGTGAACAAAACATTGTCTGCTACTTTTGAGACGTGGTGGTGTGGTACTTGTATTAAATCTGTGATTGTATATTGGTGTATTCTTAGTTACTCATCTAATTCCTTCTGGTAGGTGTGATTAGGGGATGAGATTTTGTACCACTGCCTGCTGAGTCTTCATGCAGTTCAGCTTAGAATGGATTTGTCTGTTGTTGTCATTGATCCAG